AAATAAATAAATAAATAAAATCTTTAAAAATAAATAAATAAAATAAAATCCAGTTTTTTACCTTGGCATCCAAGGCCCAAGGTGGTCTAGAGTTTTGCTCATTACTCCCTATACTTCAGCCACACTGTTTTTTTCCTGTGCTGGGGTCTTGCAACTGCTCTTTCTCACTAGAATGCTGCTTCCCCTCCCCCCCCACCGCCAGCTTTTTGCTTGGCTAGTTTATTCCTTAACTTTATTATGAGTCCAGAGTTTGCAACCTGTTCAGTTGGTTCAAGCCAGCACTCGTAAAGGAAAACAAGTTAAGATCAAATTTATCACCTTTGGGGGGAAAAAGAAAACAGAGCTTGCACACCTCAGGGCAGTGACAACATATAATGTTAATTATCTGGGGTTGGTTTCATGAATTTTTTTTTATATATTCTTACTTTGTAGGAGAAATATTTTTTATTGTGAGAAATTCCTGCTTCCTTCTCATTTGCTGAATAAATACATGTTAGAATCTGCCTTTACTTGTTACTTTCTCACTTTTAACCAGTAATAATAAGATAGCAACTATTATCATTATCTTTTTTGAGGGCTTCCTGGGGGCTATGCATTATCCTAAATACTTAACAAAGCCAGGATTTGAACCCAGAAAGTATGGCCCCAGAGCCCCTGTTTCTAACTACTACCTTGTATTAGGCTCATTTCATCTTCAGACTCAAATCTGCCAGTCCTTAGATTGGTCCCCACCTTGATGCTAACTATGTCTGGATATCCCCGATGTCCCTGATGCTGTATCCCGTCTAGACTATAGGGTGAATGTACACCTTAAATGCTTGCTGATGATACTGATGAACTTCAGGAAGCTCATAGGCTAAAGAGGCAATTCTATGGGTGAATCAATGGGATGATATACAAGAACTAAGGGAACCCTGCCCTCATTCCCTGTGCTCCTTGACTATACCCAGCTGTTGACTCAGTTACCTTGTCTTGTGGTCCCCGTCATTGGCCCTTCGCCTAGCTGTGATGGGCTGTCTTGTTTTGAATGATAGATGTATGGGTCAAGGTTCTGACAGGAAACAGATAGTGGGCGTGGGGGTGTGTGGCCAAAGAGAATTTAGTGAAAGAACATTTACAGAAGTATGAGCAGGGCTGGGGGAACCACCAAGGGATGGTGAAGCACCTGAGACTAGCAACAGCAGGGAGACATCACCCCAAGGCTTGAAGGGCAAGGGGAAGAAGTGGCGTACCCCACACGAGGAAGGCTGGAGCCGTGGATGAGGGAGCGGTTACCTGGCAGGAACTCTGCCATAGAGGAGTGCAGCCACTGGAGACGTGGTGCTGTATCTTTCTGCTCATGACTTCCTTTGGAACACCCACTGGCAGTCCAAGGACAAGGGGGCTTAGGTAATGCAGTTCTTAAGAGGTCAGTCTCCTGGGGTTCAGAACAGGCTCAAGAAGAGTTGGGGATGGATTGGGTGGTGGGGGTGTATTGAAAGAGTCACTAGCACAGCAGATGATTTATTGTCCCTTTCTGGTTACTTCCCTGGGTTAATTTTTTTTTTTTAAGTTTTTATTTATTTATTAGAGAGAGAGAGAGAGCGCGAGCACAAGCCAGGGGGAGAGGCAGAGGGAGATCAGACTCCCCGCCGAGCAGGGAGCCTGATGTGGTGCTCAATCCCAGGACCCTGGGATCATGACCTGAGCCAAAGGCAGATGCATAACCGGCTGAGCCACTCAGGCGCCCCTGGGTTCATCTTTATGCCTACTCCTCTGACCTGTTTTAATGAATTCATCCATCCATCCATCTATCCATCCTTCTATCCTAAGCACTTAATGTGTAAAGGTCTTTGTTAGCCCCAGGGAAGATAGAGAAATAAAAGTGCTTTTCCTGAAGGAATTCACAGTTTATGCTTGATATTCTCAGCCCTGCCTCGGCACTCAGATCTGGTGTTCCTGTCAGTTTCTGTCCTCCATCATTATTCTCAGAAAATAGTAGACCCCTGCCAATAAGCATTTTGAAGAGCACTATATCAATGAAGGTTCTTTGATTTACAAGTGACAGAAGACCTAACTCAGATTGGCTTAAGCAAAAAACAGAAACAAACAAAAAATGGAGTTTATTGGGTCATGGAACTGAAAGGCCCTAGGGTATTCTAGCTTCAGGCTTTGATTCAGAGAACTGATTGCTCTCCTCCCAGATAGCCTCAGGTTCCATGAGGTGGGGGGACAGCTGCTCTTTCCAGCAGAAAAAAGACAGAATCTTTCTCCTCCCAGACCCAGCAAAAGTCTCCCTGCATCTTTGAATTGTTCCAAGATGGGACTGTGACCTATCATGAAAGCCAGGACACTGTGACACTCCAAAGGGCAAGAATGAGTCATATGCTCACCCTGGAGTGTGTGTGTGTGTGGGGGGGGGTTGCTCAGTGCCATTGGAAGCCCACATACTAAGATGGAGGAGGTAGATGCTAGCTGTTAAAAAAAAAAAGGGAGGGGGTATTAAAGGCAGAGTAGAATGTACCTGAACCTGCTATGGTTATTTAAATCTCTTTATTTAATTAAATTAAATAACCTGCTATGGTTATTTAAATCTCTTAAATCGAAGCCTGAACCAGACCAGAGATACTTAGGATTTTCAGATTTTTAGTTTTGTCTCCTAAATGCACCTGCCTATTCATGCCTCTCTTCCTCACCCTTACCTTCTCTCTTTTAATCAGAAACTAGAACACAAAAGACCACCCCACTCTACACAAAAGATACTTTAATGTAGTATCTTTAAAAGAAAAAAAAAGAAAGCTTTAAGTGTACCATTTGTATAGATTCAGCTTATAGTAAGAAATCAGGAGATACAGGGTTCATTCAGTAATCGACTATTGTTTTTCAGGCTCTTTGATGTAGAAATCTAATTGTTTCACTCACAATTTGGCATTTTAGGATCCCATAATTTGGTCCCATTAGTCATGCACTTTTATCCTGGTGTTGTATGGACTTCAGAGTCAGACAGAAATCCCAGATCACACATTTATTTTAATTGTTTTAGATTCTTATTTATTAGAGAGAGAGAGTGCGCACGAGCATGAGGGGAGAGGGGCAGAGGAACAGGGAGAAGCAGACTCCCCGCTGAACCCAACGCTGAGCAGGGAGCCCAACGCTGAGCAGGGAGCCCAACGCGGGGCTCGATCCCAGGACCGTTGAGATCCTGACCTGAGGCGAAGGCAGACGCTTAACCGACTGAGTTACCCAGGAGCCCCTCCAGCTCACACATTTAAAGAGCCGTAGGCACTTGGTCAAATCAGTCATCTGTGTGTGCGTTAATTTCTTCATTGGAAAATAGTAGTATCATCAGCTGCCAGGTGCTCTGCTAAATATTCTCTCATAGATTTCCTATCTGTGTCTGTCTGCCTACTTACCTACCTACCTCTCTGTCTCCTCTATGCAAGGATGTGAGACAACCCTGTGAAGGGTGGGTGACACCTATTTTACACACGAGGCTACAGGCTGAGGGAAAGGAGGAACCAGCTCACGTGGAGACGGTTGGTGTTGGCGGAGCTGGGATTTGAAACCAGGCCTGTCAGATTCCCAAGCCTGCGCACTCAGCTCTCTTACCAAACCGTCTCGGTCCCCTGCCTCAGCAGAAGGAGCTGTGCAGAGACTGAGATGGCGCGGGGCACGTGCGGAGCCCAGCGCGGGGCAGTGCCCCGGCTCGCGGGCGGACAGGTGGGCAGACACCAGGAGCGCGGCTGGGGGACGCATGCGCACGCGGTTCTCCGGCGCGCCGGGAGCCAGCGCACGTTGAGTCCTGTCCGCGCTCACAGCGTTGGGGACTTAGGCATGCCACTTACCTCTCTGGAGTCTCCATTTCTTCATTTGCAAAAAGGGGGTGACAGTTATCTGGATGGCAGAACTGTTGTGGAGGTTAAATGAGACCCCGTGTGTAGATTCCATTCTCCCTTTCCATTCTCCCTTTCCACCCCCACCTCCCATCCCCATCTCTGCGCTCTGCGGGAGGCATCCACAGGCTGGGAAAGAGTTTGAGGGTATAGAAACTGTATTAAATTCTAGCTGCTTCATCTGCCAGTGTATGATGGTTCCATGGTCCACAGTCTCTCTGAGTTTTGTTTCTTTTATTTGTGAAGTGGATCTTCAAATGCCTGCTCCATAGGGTAGGAAATACGAGATAATGTATGTAATGTGCTCCACACCTCCTTTCCTTACCTGTACTGCTTCTACCCCTTCTTCGAGGCCCATCTAAAATTAAAAGAATCAAAATCAGAACCCCACCTTCTCTGTGAGGTCTTTCTTAATGCCTGCAGCCCCAGTCGACACCATTCTTGCAAATGCTTGTTGTATTTATCCCTGTACCAGCTCCTGTATCCATTATATTTACCAAATACAATTCCAGAGACAAGGGAAGCACCCCGTAAGTAAAATAACAGTACTAGTTTTTGTTTTTTAATCAAATAATAGAAATGTTAAAACAAGAATAGAATTTATTAGATAAGCTAAAACTTCAGGGATTTAAGGCTTCTTGGTAAAAGTCCCTTGTAGGGGAAATATTATAGTGGGGGAAAATTCGTTTTTCCTTTTTTAAAGTTGGGAAACAATTTCCTGACAACTCTTGAAATAACCAGGAATACCTGGGGAAGTGACTAAACCCAAATTAAGAATCTCGAATCCAGAGAAAGCATTGCACATATTCTGAGCCTGGATATTTTTAGTTCTGGTTGTGTAATAAACCCCACTAATGGATTTATTTATATATAATTCTGTATTTCCTTTTTTATATTTTAGATGGAGCAGATTAAAAGGGCAAATAAACTGTTTACCAGTGACTGTATATTTCTGAAGAAAACTTTGAACATCCCAGTTATATCAGAGAAGGCTCTGTTGTTTAATGGACTTAACTCAATAGATTCTCCAGAAAATGAAACTGTTGGTAGCAGTTTTTCTCATGACGAAGAGCCGGTAGCAGCTGGGGAAGACCTTTCTCCTCCCAGTCCTCAAGAATCCAATGTTCAGCCCATACAGCCTGAAGAAGTGTCAGCTAGAGATTTCCTGCAGAGACTAGACTTGCAGATTAAGTTGTCAACGCAGGCAGCCAAGAAACTAAAAGAAGAGAGCAGGTAAAAATATGCTGGTATAATGTCAGAGGCTGAATAAATTACTCTTATGATGTCCTTGCTTGGCTAAGGTTTTGTTGTGTTTTGTTTTCTCCTTTGCTCTTCCCTTTCCTATTTTTTCCTTTTCCTTTAAAAACTCTATTTTAATTCTAGAAAGTCATTTTCAATATATGAAGCGTAAAAAGAGCTCCTGCATTCTGCATAGGGCTTTACCTGTTGTCTCTGTTATTTATTATAAAAAGTTTCTTTGGTTTAGTAGTGTAACTGTCCAGCGAGCAATTCTGGATAGCAGCCAAGCAGAAACGTCTCGTTTATCCCGTCAGAGGAAGGACTGCGCTGGGGAATCCTTGTGATCCTAATGCAATTTGTCAAAGACAGTGTCCGTTATTTGTTACTGGGTGTTTTTCATGTGAGCTTTTTTCTCTGCTCTTTAATTTGATACTAGGGCAAATCTTTTTCTCTCCTACGGAATTGATTTTCTTTTTCCTTTATGAATCCAAGAATGGCACAAGCTATTGGTTTCCTTTTTTGCCCTGGCTACCGGGAAGCTAGCAACTAAAACTGATGTTCAGTTCAACTACTACAGTATTTTTTATGGTTAATGTATTCATACTGTTCTCCTTTCCTTAGTCCTGATTTTTTATTTCTATCTAATTCATCTTATTATATTTATGCTTTTTGTTGTAGGCACATCAAGTCCTTTCGAGGAAAAGGTAGAATATAAAAAATAAAAACAAATACGAATATAATCATTTTATAATTCAATATGTTTTATTTAAATGTAATAGAAAAATGTAAATATATAAGAATATATATATTCTTTTTTTACAAGTACCCTTCTTTATTCCAATAATTGAGTTGCCAATAAAATGCAGATAATAAGGTACACCCTAATGAGTATTTGCATTTCATACAACTTCCAGGACATGCAAAATATTATAAATTGATATACTCCTGCCCTTCTTTGGCAAGTGGATATTAAGGTATATAATAAGTATACATATTAGTTTTCTGAATAGTGTTTTTAAACACTGATTTATGCTGAATTTCTTTTTTTCAGAGATGAAGAAAGCCCCTATGCAACTTCCCTCTATCACAGTTAGATAATCAGGGGTGATAATCTAACCTGGATTAAGAGATGGTTGAATCATAAAGAAACCAACAACTGAAGATTCAAAAGCATACATCGTTAAATCACAATTTAGTAGTTCTACCTACTGCAATTGCACTGAAGTGATTATTTCCCTCTGGCTTTCTATAATTTTAAGTCTTTATTATGGCATGAGAGCAAAATTGTATCCTAAAGCCCATCACTTTTGTAGGTGATGGTAGTTTTTAGACTAGTTTTATAAATACTAGTTAACATAAAGCATCAAAGACTATATACATATTCAAGCTGAAAATGATGTTGATCTTCTGAGAAATCATAATTATGTGAAATACATGGTTGCTGTTTAAGTGATACTGATTTTGCTATGTGTTTATAACTTAAGTGCTATATATATATATTTCGATATGTATTATATATTCTGTATTAATATAAAGAACCAAATTTTGTCTGCTATTTTGTAAAAATAAACTACAAAAGCCTGAATGAGAAAATAAACTATGTTTTCATATTTGAGTCTTCAATTTTTTCAACAAATGGAAAAATAAAGTTGATTTTTAAATTACTTTTTAAATGGTGACAGCTTCTCCTCCATTTTAATTGCTTTTATTATTATAATTGGAATTTTGAAAAAGTTTCAATAATCTAAAAGCAAATCATTATGGGTATTAGTAACCTTTGCATTTTCATAATATTTGACCTGATATGTTTGAGATATGGTATGAACATAGAATATGATCAGAAGGAGAAATTATGACACACTGGTGAATTCTAGTTTAGATTTCATTAAGTCACTTTATAAAGAGCGCTTCGTAGGCACTGTGCTCATTTGAATTGAGGGTTAAGTTTTTATTTACATAATTTGTCTTTTTTCATATGTACAGGTTACAGACATAAATGTTAAGCAAAATATTATTTACAGTTAAACTTTTTTTGGTCTCAGTTTTTATTCAAGTACCAGGTTAAAGAAATCTTTAAGCTTCCACAAAAATTCCCCATATTTATCCCTCCCCTACACCCCCAAGGAATCTGCTTTCCGTGGGGCAAACAGGACTCTCCCCTCATTTTCTCTTCCCCCATCTCCCTCCTTCCAGTCTTTATTAAGCAGGAAACAGGTGCCCTTAGACATCAATGCAGCAGAGCTTATAGAATTGGAACTGCACATCTCCAGCCCTTGAGAGTGACCAACAGGTGCATGCATGGGAAACACTAGTCATCTGCCCTTGTCTTGAATTTCTTGTTTATTCGTAACATACATACTCCCTGATGTGTTGGTTTTTTTCTCATGCTGTTACTGTCTCTGATATAGGGTGGTCTCTTGATCATGCTTTGCTGCTACCTGACTCTGGGGAGTTAGTTGGAAGAGGAGAAAACAAAAAGAAAACAAAAAAGGAAGGGAAACCATTGCGTATATAAGACAAGATCTAGGCCTCTCTGGAGGCACAGGAACTTTCAAAGAATGTAAAGTTATCATGCTGTTTAACATCATCTGAAATTTGAGAGTAATCCAAAAGACATAAATCCAAAAATGCTATCCAAAAGATGTAATATAAGCAGAAATGTAAAATTCAGACCACAATCTTAAAAATATTCTGAGTATTTCTTTGTTGCCTAAGGTCTACTCTTAGCACTTTCTGGCCAAGACATCTCTGTCCTTCACGTTATTAAAAACTGGATTTGTGGGGCGCCTGGGTGGCTCAGTCGTTGAGCATCTGCCTTCGGCTCAGGTCATGATCCCAGGGTCCTGGGATCGAGCCCCGCATCGGGCTTCCTGCTCTGCGGGAAGCCTGCTTCTCCCTCTCCCGCTCCTCCTGCTTGTGTTGCCTCTTGCGCTATGTCTCTCTCTGTCAAATAAATAAATAAAATCTTAAAAAAACAAAAACAAAAACAAAACTCTGGATTTGTTGTGGCCACAGTTGAACTGTTTTGGACCAGAGTACTTTAGTACTGCCTCGGAGGAGTGGACTGAGCCACAAGAAACCAGGTCCAAGGCCCACTTTTAACCACTTCTTGGCCATCCGAGTTTGAGCACACTCTGTGCCCTTCTTCTTGTGAACCAGTTTACTCATTTCTAAAACAGGGCCGATGATCTCCCTTTTCTTTTTTCTTGGCTACTGCTGGGAGCTAATGAATATCTGTGTGTCAGAAAACTACAATAAAACTCCCTAAATAAATGTCTTATTTAAAAATAGACTGCATAGGTATCTAGATATATTATAGAAAAATGAATGGATAAAATGCTTTAATTGCAGCGAGACTTTTTTTTCCCTGATGTACAAGCAGCCTGTTTGGACTGTAGGACTTGGGTGAAGGAGTAGGTCGTGTTATCAAAGATGACATTAAAATGATCTGACTCACTGTGTTTGGCAAGGATAATCTGGGCATAGGTGTTTTTAGTTCCCTCTTACTGCTCACCAGGGAGTACTGGCTTTTCTAGAACATACTGAGTTTAGTTTGTGTGGGTGTCAGGCTTTGCGTTTTGTTTATTTTTACAACTCTAGAGAGGATGGGGAGGAGCAGCAGTGGTTTCCTCCCTGTGAAACATAACCTCTTAACGTTGTCCCTATACGTTCCCCAGCCCTCACCAAAAAGTAGATACCAAGTAGGAGCATTCAAGACAAGTATCAGAAGGCCGTTTGAAGTCATGACAGCTAATACACAAAGCATTATATTATTTTTAAGATTTCCAGCTGAAATAGATAGAAAAATATGTTATCACTTTATGCTGAATAATGCATTTTCAAAGCATTCTTTGGTTTGGGAGCATTGCCCATTACCATTTCAGGAGGACCTTGGGCCACTGTGTGTTGCTTCCAGGGCTGTGTTTGCGATGGCAGCTGAGGAAGAGGAGTTGCAGAGACCCTAAGTTCATTAACCTTTTCTTCCAGGAAAGCTTGTTCACCAGCTTTGGTCCACAAAGAAGGGAATGACTGTTTTCTCTATTTCTGCACTACTGCTTGGCCCTCTTGCTCTCTGTTGAGAATACCTTGGTCTGGATTAAATTCAGTTTAGATAACTCAGGTCTGGCAGACATTTTTACTTTGCTTCTGTAGTGTTTATGACCTCATTTTTCTTCTTGGAGAGCACATAGTTATTCCTACTAATAAACAAACTCAATGTCTGGAAATGTTAAACGTCGGGAGAAATTGTTGATGAATCCAGCAAATCCTATGCTTATCTTTCAGGTTCCTTTTTGCACCACTGGGCCTGATAAAGAGCCAGCAGGAACAGCCAAAAAAGCAGAGAGTTATCCTTTAAGCTAGAGAGGCTTTGAAGAAATGTAAATTTATTTTAACTCCCCAAAGGGAACTGGTAGTGAAAACAACATCTTGTAACAGACATATTCTATGAGGTGCTTTGGTACCTAGCATGCCTTGAAAACAGAAGCCCCTAATTCTTCAGGTGGGTGCCTGTGGGTGTGACACGGAGGGAAGAAGCTTCAATTTTAAGTTCTATCCATGACAGGCTTTCCAAAGCAACATATCTCTGATTATAAAATGTAAATCTAAAAGGAAATAAGGATTCTATATGCAAAATCGCAGCTTACATACAACTTTACTTTTCAGACAGTTTTTATGGCAAGAAAGCTATGTTTAACCACTTCTAAAAGGTTAACTACTGCAATTTCATCACTTTCTAATAATCCTTGGGTCAAATAACTTTAATGACAGAATTAGAAGTGTTTTAAGCTATGTTTACTGAAACAGTCCAAAGACTCCTGGATCTTCTGCCATTTTTACAGACTGCTGTAGATACGCTTGATGGCATCAGCTTCTTCTTTATCAAGGATGCCTTTCTCCACATAAGCATCCACTTGTTGGTTGATGAAGTCCCTCATCTTTGAAAGGTCATAATCTAGAAAAGATCGTTAGCGTATCATGAGCAACAATCAGGAAAGAGACGTCCCATTACAGTGACGACCATTAACTAAGAAGCTTTTAATGCAACAACACAAATACCATTCCATCCCCGTTTTTCACATCGGAAAACATATTAGATCTTGGCATTTGTTCAGTCTTTAGAGTTTAAAATCATGTTTATGTGTGTGATATTATCTCATTTGCTGTCCATCATCACCCCTGCAAGGTGTTCAAGTGGGGAGTACCACCCTCATTTGACCATGGAAGGGACAGGCTCATAGACCAGGGCTTTGCAAACTTAATGTTTATACCAATCACCAGGGGCTCTTGCAGGTTTGTTTTCAGTAGGTCTGAGGTGGAGCTCCAGATTCGGCATGTTAAATAAGTTTCCAGGAGATGTTGATTCTGCTGGTCCGGGAATCACATTAGGATAACAAGATCCTAAAGCTTAAGTACCTTGTTCAGGATCATATGGATAGTAAGAGTTACAAACAGAACCAGGTGTTTTGGTTTTCTGCAATTGTTATACAGGTTAAGTCACTGTTGATGTGACAGCCCACTATTTTTTTCCAAATTAAGAATTACCATGATTTTTCATAGTATCTGAATTATATGCACAGAGCAAAAAAAATTATATGCATGGAGCTTTTTTTTTTTTTTAGAGAAACCTCTTTATGGCTCTTCTGTCCTACTTAAACAAAAAACCTGTGTAAACCATCAAACCACCCATCAAAAACAGAGATAACCAAGTAAGGATGCTGCCTGTGGCATTTTTCTGAAGGCTTAAAGAAAACCCACATCCTCCCTTGATGCTTATTGTTTTAAAAAATGGAAAATACAGAAACATGGAAATAAAATTTAAATCACCTGAATTCTAGTAATCATAAATAACCACAGTTGGTTTTTTATTCTACTTTTTTCGCTTTTCAAATATATGTCTCTCAACCCAGGATTGAGATCACAGTATATATACAACTTTATTAACAAGCTCCTTTCACTTTACCCAGTGAGCATCAATATTCTTCAGAAACGCCGCTTTTAATGGCTACATACAATGCATCCTACGGTGGTACCAAAATTTATGACTCACATCTCACAGGGTGGGACATGTGGGTCTTCTATACCCCAGCATACTTGGGGAGACGCCCCCCCAGATTTTGAGTTGCCTGAGGCTGAGTTCCTTGAGGACAGTGCCGTTCACCTTGGCTACAGCAGCCTCTGGAACAGAGCCTTGCCTTCTGTCAGTTTGCAAAGGAGAAAAAAAGGGAGAGAATGGGGAACAAAAGCTCAGAGCACCCGTGAAAGGAAAACTAAAGAACATCGCTGTAGGCGCCAGGTGTTTATTGTATCAAGTGAGCCGAGGCTTAGAGAAAACCCGTTTCCTCTCCACGAAGAAAGGCATTTGTTCTCACTAGGGCTTGGCCGTGAAGATTAAAGAGACAACTGTCAGCTCTGGGCACTTTACAACTGTCATCTGACTTGCTCGTCGCGGAACTCCATGAGGTAAGCATTAGTAACCCCATCTCAGAGACGAAGAAACAGGACAGAGGTAAGTCACTCGCTTGGGTAAGGGCAGAGTCAGGTTCTGAACGCTGGTCTGTCTGTAGTCTCTGCTTTGGCCATCTACGGCCTTGAAGTGGGGAACATGAAGCAACTAACAGGTGTAGAACCAATATTCAGGAAGCGCTTGGGGTTTTTGTTATTGTTGTTCCCTTTCATTTTCCCTTACTGTCAGGACAAAACAGAGTCGTGCCGAACATACATTTTGCGCGCACCTCACCAGCAGATTCCTGACTGACTCGGAGGGCACAAAGAGGCGCCTCTTGATGATCGCTGGTTCAGATTAATACTGGCTCTCCCGAGCTGGTTGCAGGGTCAACGTCTTTAGTGGGACGAAAGGCAGCCCAAAGGCAGATGTGAAGTGGTCCGGGGGATTTGAATGGACACACAGGAAAATACTTTGCTTTCTTTTGAAATGGAAAAACTGTATCTTAAAACATAGCTGTCACTGTGTGCCCTGGGAAAATGAGCATGGTGCAGAAGAAAGGCCATTGGCTGCCTGTTAGATCACACAAGTCAGGAGCCACCTTGCTAACCTTAAGAAGGTTTTAAGGTTGTTATGCTCAAAAGAGAAAAGGGCTGTGATTCACCTTTTAAAAAGTACAGACTTTATTTTTAAGGGTGCATAAAGTTTTTTCTTCCTCCTCAGTATCACATCACATGGACCTCCCTTTTCTGGAAGTGGAAAATTAAATTGTAGGATGTGGCTGGTTATGACCAGGAGTCTGATTCATGTTAATCAGGAAAAGAAAGAACATAAGTACACCGAATTGTTGGACCATAAAATTAACATTGGTTTCAGAATGCATTCTGGTGCCTACTGTATTACATTGATTCTAAGATCAACATTTTTTTATTTTAAAGTCTTCACAGTCACTGATGGCACGTTCTAATTTTTCTTCCTTAGTGGTGTATGAAATAATGGTGCCTTTTTCAATCAATGACAGATTTGATGAAATATGGTTCATGTGAATTTGAATGGAACGGACAACCTGGAAATTCACATCATTTTGAACCAAATAAAATATGTGCAAAGAGCTGATAATTGTTTCCATCTCACTCAATTTAACAAGATCACAGGTTAAAGAGGGGCTAAAAATACCTCTTTCTCCCATTGTGCTCTCAGTGATTCTCAAACTTGGCTACACAGTGGAATCATGGGCGAGGGGGGTTAAAAATACTGATGACTGTGTCATTCCTCTTGAGTGTCTGACTTAGCGGTCCTGAGAAGCGACCTGGGCATCGAGAGCCTGAGGAGCTCCACAGGTGATCTGAATGCATGTTCAAGTTTGAAAACACCGCTCATCTCATTTTAAAAGCATCACTTGGCAACTGCTCAGCCAGACACCTGGGAGTCATAGTGGACTCCTCTGTCTCCACGTTGCTCTCAAGCTTCTCCCTTCTTTATTTCCTCTGCCTTGCCTTGGTTTAAGCTCCGTCATTTCTGCTCCAGATCCTTGCCTCCCAACTCTGTCCAATCCTCTGGGGTCTTATTTCTCCCTTCTGTAACCGCACTGCTGCCAGATCGATTTCTCAGTTCCTAACCTAATTAAGCCCTAATTTAGGCTCTTCTGGCTAAATCTTACCTCCTTTGCAGAGTGCACAAGCTCCTTCCTGATCTGGCTGCTACCCACCTCCCCGCAGACACCCAGTGTTCCTGGGAAACCGAGTGGCTCCAGTTCCCAGAACGCATGAGTCTCTTTTGTCCCTTTATGTCTTGGCACCCAGTGTTCCCCTGCTCCCATCTCTCATCACTTAGCTTTCCAGCAAAGGCTTTCCTGCAGACCTTTCTCCCAGTGCTACCCCTCCCTGTAAAGAGATGGGCTCCCCTCCTTTGCACCGCTTCACCTGTCTGTGATAGCCCTGAGCAGGGCCAACTGTAGCTTGAGTGATGCTGGCAGCTTCCTTGGGGGGGCCAGGGAGGGCAGGGGGAGGCTGCAGCTTCCATTTTCACATCTATGGTACTCAGAACAGAACAGTCTTGTTCTGTGTTTTGTTTTAAGTGAGTGACAGCTTTTGTGACTGCAGGGTACATCTAATATGTGGTCAAAAATGCCTTTGTTTAAAATACTCCAAGGAGGGGCACCTGGGTGGCTCAGTCAGTTAAGTGTTTGGCTCTTGATTTCGGCTCAGGTCATGATCTCAGAGTCATGAGATCGAGCTCCGTGTTGGGCTCCATGCTGCTCGGATTCTCTTAGGATTCTGCTTAGGATTCTCTCTCTCCCTCTCTTTCTGCCCCTCCCTTGCCTCCCCACCCTCTCAAAAAAATAAGTAAAAATTAAAAAATTTTTTTTAAATTCTCCAAGGAAAGGGCAAAATGTTGATAATTATTGGAGGTGGTCGACGGATACATGGGGATTCATTATACTATTCTCTCTACTTTTGTTTGACATTTTTCATAATAAAATGTCAAAGAAAATGTCAAAGAAAAGGTCTTTGCTTGAGAGGCTGCTTTGAAAAATAAGAGAAATGGAGATTCTACTCCTGCATCGGCATTCCTTCATCCTGGAGTCTTTTTGGACAAGTTTGATTGTGAGAAACTTCATTTAACAAGAACCCTGACAAATGGGTGAAATTGGCAATTTACAACCATACTAAATCTTTACCTTCTTTATTTCCTTTTTTGTTGTGTTTCTTCAACCATTCAATATTTTTTCTGATGGCTTCCAAATAGGCTTCTGTTTTTCCTGGAAAAGGGAAGAGAACCCATATCAAACACTCAAAATATCACTGCATTTCTTTTTAAAGACCACACTCTTGTTTAGAACCATAAACACTGGACTCGCCGAGCACTTGTGAGGTGGTGTCCCTAATGAAGTAGTGTGCATATTTGTGTGCATGGTGTGTGTGGGGGGGGTGTTGAGGAGAATGGGTAGGGATAAGATTCCGGGAGATAGGACCAGGGTAATGTCAAGGAGTCATTACATACATACACACACACACACAACTACAGTCTGTTGTCCTGGCAGAGAAGAGTTTTGATCCAGTTCACTGGATAGCTGGGTGCCTTCAATTCTTAGACTGCATCTGTTCTGTTTAGGAATGGTTCTTCCAAACTGAGGAGTATTCTCAGGTCAAGAGCTAAATCGGAGTGGCAGATACTGAAAAGACTTCATCACCAAATAAATGATGTTAAGTACGTCCAAATGTGTGGCTTTGTGTAGGCTGCTGTGCAAGTCTTCTGCCAAATCTGGTAGGGAGTGTGTAAAAACTCAGATGAAGAGTGACCCAGGCCTCATTTCAAGGTTTAGATGTGAACCTTAGAACTCATTCTAGTATAGCTCCCCCGGATGTAAACATTCTCCCATGGGCCTCAGGTGTGGTGAGAGGAAACTAGGCATCACTGGAGCACCTGCTCCGTGATACCCTTTATATACATTGTGGTCTGCAAGTGGGTATTAGCACCCGCTTAGAGATGAGAAAACTAAGGCTCAGAGAGGCTAAGTGACTTGGCTGAGACCACATAGGAAATAACTGAAGTAGAATTTAGACTCTGGTCTTACCAAGTTTCTGCTGCCTATACTATCCGAAAGAAAAGATCTTTCTTCAGACATGGACACTGATGTAGCCTTGTTCTGTCTCGAAGAAATCAACCACACCTGAAACCAGATGAAGCCCCTAGTGCTCAGAGTGTCTGCACCAAGGGACCGGGTGGTCTGGAGAATCCTGGATGGCCTGAGAAAAGAAGCCTTCCAAGTCCAGGGGCTCTGCAAGAAGTAATGGTTGCCGAAGCTCAGTGGTGACCACCCATTCTGAGCCCCTGTTGAGCCCTGTTACCTCTAGTGTACTGCCCAGACTTACTGGTTGAGTTACCTGGACTTGCGCTTAGGATGTGCCAAGGGCTGCGCTTTGTGCTCCAAAATGTACTATCTCTTTACTATTCACAACAACCTCTTCAGGTGCTCCCATTTCATCCCCATTTTACAGATGAAGAAATCGAGGCATAGAGAGACAAAGTAACGTGCTGAAGATCATATGGCTAGTAAGTTGTGGAGCCGGGCTTGAACCCCGGTGCTTCTGACTACAGTCCATGAACAATAACACTGCCCTAGGATCTGCTGATGCTCCAGCTTCCACTACTGCATTTACCTAAGTGACCTCCTGAGCATCTTTCTTCCTGATCTTGTAAGCCCAAACTCTTGCCTCACCACCAGGGCTCCATGATATCTGGACCCCAAAGAAGCACAGGAAAGCTCCCTGCAAAAGGGGTGAGTGGACAAGAGAAGAGATCCACAGTTTTCAGCCCCAATTCACTGCAATCACCTGTGTAGAAAAAGTCTTTGTTCCAGTGCTTTGTTTTTAAGAATGTTGGAGCATATGAAAGATCAAGTCCTCCTGGTTGACATTATAACATATTACAGTACAATGAACATAGTGATATTCATTGTCTGTTGCCTGTTTGTTGAGAAGGTCAGTTGGATTTGGTGACATAAAATCGGTGTTCTCTATTTCAGATAAACTCAGAAAAGTCATTTTGAACAAAGAAAGAAATCTTAGTGTAGACTATTTCTGAAGAATGCAGCCTCTTTATTTTTAAAGAGTTTAAATCAAATTAGTGGGCCTCATAGGGCTTTAACAAATAGAGAATTGGTCATCAGCACATTAAATAATTAGGACTTTGGAAACTTTTAAGAATGTTTGAAAATGGTCTTGCTCTTTAAATCATGTTAAGCATTCATCCCACAATCTCATTTATAATATATCATAATGTGGAAAGCTTATTTAAGAAAAAGAAAACCTGAACTTAGTCTCTGTGTAAATACTGTGTTAAAAATTCTGAATTAGGAGGGGTGCCTGGTGGCTCAGTTGGTTAAGCATCCAACTCTTGGTTTCAGCTCAGGTCATGATGTCAGGGTCATGAGATTAAGCCTCGTGTTGGGCTCTGCGCTTGGCAGGGAGTCTGCTTGAGATTCTTTCCCCCTCCCACTCTCTCCCTCTCATGTGTTCTCTGTCTCCCTTTAAAAATAAAATAAATAAATAAAATCTTTAAAAAAAGCATGTCCTTGTTTTTGAAAAAAATCTGAATTAGGAGAGTAAAGAATAAATATGGGCTTTTTGCCATAGTATAGCAAAAACTGTTGCTTCCCCATCCTCATGTCTCCCTTATTCCAGATATGCTAATAGAGGGGGCCCTCACCTAATGATGGACAGAACTGGTAGGTAAATACCCAGTTTCCTTTTGTTTCAGGAACATTCCACACAGCCTCCCAGAGATCCTCAGTGGGACTGAGCCCCAGTTACCCACAACTGAAGCCATCTTGTGAACCCACCTTATACGGGCTTCTTTCCTCTCCCTGTTTCATGTACCTATCCCCCCACAGTGGTATTTCCTGGGGTCATCACTCCATTAAACTTGACCTCAAATCCCTCTCTTAGGGTCTGCTTCAGAAGGAACCTAACCTAAGGCAATTTGAAATAGAGGGCTTGGCATCATCTTGTTAGATGCTTTTTGCTCAGGAACCAATTTCCTATAAAAATGTTAAATATTAAAAAGTATGAAATGCTTGAAAGTAATTTTATTCACTATATTGATATTCCCAACCCATAAGAGAGAATGAGTTTACTGCAGTTTACTGCAGCTTAAAGGAATCTATACTGCAATCCATTAAAAAACTAAACTACTATCTTGTGGATCATAACAACATATGATTAGGACAGTTTCTCTAGTTTATTTATTATTTTTAAATATTTATTTGAGAGAGAGGGAGAGAGTAAGGGCGGCGGGGGGACGGGCGGGCAGAGGGAGATGGGAGAGAGAGTGAATCCTAAAGCAGACTCTGCGATGAGTGTGCAGCCCCGCGCAGGGCTCGATCCCACAACCTTGAGATCATGACCTGAGCCCAAACCAAGAGTCAGACGCTCGACTGACTGTGCCACCCAGGTGCCCCGATAGTTTCTCTAATTTAAAATAGACCACCCCCATAACCCTCATCCCTCTCTTCTGCTTTATTTTTATGCATAACACTTACCACTTTCTACCAAATCATATAATTTATGTAAGTTTATTTTTTGTCTTCCTCCCTTAGAAATAGTTTTTTTTTGCTGATAAGGACTGACACATAGTAGTCTATCAATAAATATCTGTCAGATAAGTGAATGGATAAAGGCTTCTTAGATGCCAAACTGTAATCAGAAGAATATAATTTTTTTAAAGTATAAATGGTATAGATTTCTTTTTTTAACAAAAAAATGAATTGTCAATTTGAAAGACTTGAAGTTTAATGAATTCTGAATTGAAATGATAGTTATAGCAGAAACAATTTAAAATACCTACAAATGTGCTAGACATACTATATCCATGTCATTTAATCTTCACGGAGCTCTATGAAATCAGCATTATCATTCCCATTTTACTCATGAGGGAACTAATGCTCAGAGAGGTTAAGTGACATGCCCAAGGGGACACAGCTGAGTAAGGGTGAGAGCCTGGTCTTGAACTAGAATGAATCCAGAGCTTCTACTGAGTGTAGCTTGGGTAAACTTCACTTTTTAGACTAGAACAATCTAGTGCCTGTTGTTGTTGTTGTTACCAAACTAGCCAACAAGGCAGTGGTTCTCAAACTTGGCTGCATACTGGAATTAACAAGATGATGCCAAGTCCTCTATTTCAAATTTAAAAATCCTGATGTCAAGGTTACTCCTCATACCAATTAAATGAGACTATCTGAGGGTAGGGGCCAAGCATCATTTAAAAAAAAATGGTCCTGAGGTGATTCCCATGTGGGGCTAAGTTTGGGAACGACTGCCACCAGCATTGAGACCTCCGCACATTTACTGGAGCACTGGTGACAAGGTGAATAAAATCAGGTGTCCCTCTGCTGTTGGAGAGGAGCAGCTGGTTCCTATTTACATTTTCTCTTCTGGGGAGCTATAAAGCAAATCTTTTATTTACACAGTGTGCAGTAAAAGCCCATGAGAGTCCACTTTGGAAAGCTGGACTATTTTTTTCAAATTTATTCCAGTTTTCTTTGGAAAAAAATAGCTCATGGCTGAGGTAATATGGCACAACCTTTAAACCATATGCTGAAGCAGATGGGAAGAGGGCCAGAATCAAGATGCGCAGCCCTGCTTTTCTGACTGTTCTGGTTTTCAGCACTGCAAAAGAAATACCCCTTTTTATACGTGAATTTGTCCTGACTGTGACATATGCTAACTTGATCTGTCCCCCAAGACCTGTAGAAACAACAACAACAAACCTGTAGAAATCAATAGAATTAACCTACTGAATACGGACATACTAAAGATATTAGATCTTAAGAGTGTTTATAAAAATTAAGTTTGACACCCTTAAAATTCCGTGAAGATGACATGATTACAGTTTTGAATGGCATAAAACAAAGTCAGTGATGATGGTATCACTGATGCCAACATGGGCCTCAGAGCCATTCAGTTCAAGAATTTCTGTACAATGCTGACATTTTATCTGCCTAAAAGAAATGCTCAGAGGAGTACTGGATGGGAGTCAAGGGACAAGGGTTCAAGGCCTGGCTCTCACTCTGGCTAGGAGATCTTGGGTGAGTCACTTCATTCTCTGAGCCTTGGTTTATTTATTTATAATTTAGGGATGAATTCTAAGAAGAAGATTTATGGTTTCCGCATATGGAAAGACATTGTCCTTTGCTATCCTCAAAAAACCTGTGTTGATGGGAGGTCTCCTGTGCCTGCACTTAGCTCCTGGCATACTTGC